TCACCAGGTCGTCGCCTCCAAGAACGGTACCAGAACTGGAGCTCAAGCTGGCATGTTATAGGCAGGCTCAATAGCATGTTACTCAGAGTGCCATGCCTCCATACGGCGGATAGTGGCATGGCACGCTGACTTCGTATTTGAGCGAGTTCGCCTCCGTATTTCAGCCAGTTCTCTTTCTCACTTTTATTATTAATAAACTATTTTCAAGAATGTGTACATTTATTGAACTTTCGCTTGTTTTGGGCTTGTTCACGAAGGTCACGCCGCTTTTTTTGGGTTTGGTTGGGGACGACTATTTGCTTATTCGCTCGGCCGCATCTGGCCACCCTGGCTGACGCGCATTGATGGGTCTAGCGAAGGACCTTGAGAACACTTCCGCGGGCCTTTTCCGGAATGATGACCCGATGTACCGAGTATAGCAAGCTGTGTTGCACCGAAAGCTCGTCTTTCCTGCTCCAGAAAGGTCGAAGCTCTTCTTGTTCTGCCGACAGCTTCCGCGGCCATCCACGCTGGGTTTAGCTGATGACGCCACGCAGCACCTTGTCTTCCGCAGTCATCTGTGCAATCTGCTTCGCTGCCACCAGACCGTTGCAGAACTCTTCCAAGGACGCAATTATTTCTGGAAGTTCCTTTTCCAGTTCGGGAAAATCTACTCATGGCGTACGTCGGCATTGGCGTTACTTGTCCCGGCCGGGTACTCGATGCCGGAGCTGTATCCTTCGAGGATGATGGCCCACCGTTGAATCCTCGCCGCGGCCGTTGCCGGCACGGCTTTGTCGTGGTGAAAAAGTCCTACCAAAGGCTTGTGGTCAGCTACCAGGGTGAAATCCCTACCCAACAAATAGTCTCTAAACGTCGACACAGCAAACACCAATGCCAAGGCCTCTCGTTCTAATTGGAAGTAGTTTTTCTCCGCTTTTGACAATGTTCGGAAGTTAAATACAACAAGCTGCACGTCGCCCCCACAACGATGAGAAAGGACAGCTCCGATGACCTGCGGTGAAGCGTCACATTCAAGAACCAGGGGCTTTGTAGGGTCGTAATGAGTTAACATGTTGGACTCACTCAGTGCTGCTTTTGCTCGGTGAAAGGCCTGGACCTCATCTCGTCCCCGGTGCCATTTTCGTCCCTTTTGTAATAGAGCATACAGGGGGGACAACAGCGCTGCCATGTTGGACACAAACCGGTTATAGTAGGTTATGATGCCCAGGAACAAGCGTAGCTCGCTTACATTCGTTGGTGTTCGCACATCCTTAAGCACCTCCAGGTTCTTGCCAGTCGAATGTAGCTTATTACTGTCAATCCTGTGTCCCCGGTAGACCACTTCTGCTTTTCGGAAGCAACACTTCTCCCTGTTGAGCTTGACTCCGTTATTGCAAAGCACCTGCAAGACCTGACGAAGACTTTCACCACAGTCCCCGTTCCTCTCCGCGACCAGTACATCATCCAGATACACTTGTACTCCTGATATACCTTGTAGCAGGGTTTCCACTGTCCTTTGGAGGATCGAAGGGGATGACGCCACGCCAAATAATAGACGATTGTAACAGAAGAATCCTTTGCGCGTGTTCAGTACTGTCAGCCTTCTGGACTCCTCGTCTAGGGGAACAATTTGCTGTAAGCTTCCCGAAGGTCCAGCGTACTGAAGCCATTCAGCGAAGCGAAAATGTCATCGATCAGTGGTAAAGGGTACTGCTCCGTCGGACACGCCTTGTTTACGGTGAGCTTAAAATCACAGCACAGCCTGACGGAGCTGTTTTTATTTAGAACTGGTACGACTGGAGTTGCTCAGTCAGAATGGGAAACAGGTGAGAGAACACCGTTCTCCACCAGGTGGTCAATTTCTGTGGTCACGTTCTTCCGTAGTCCGTACGCCAGAGGTCTGGCCTTTTAGAATTTGGGTGTCGCTCCAAGGTTCGCGCTTGAGCCTGCATCCGGTACTTTGATTAGACCCAATCCTGGTTGAAAGAGTTCATGGTATTCTGCCAAGATCTCATCCCAGTCTCTACGTTGTTCAGATTCCAAAGACAACGCTTGAGCTGGAAGAAGGCCGAACGCTCGAATAACGTCAAGGCCAACCAGACTTGGTCCGTTGCATCCCAAAACTGTTAGCTCCGCGTTCACTTGGACTCTTTCGTAACGGACCTTCAAACTCAGCTTTCCGATGATGGGACCTTTGCCGAGGTAGCATGACAAGCTTAATGCGGTGTGTTTCCAACGAGACCAGCTTGCTTTGTTCTCTTCGTATGCTCTTTTCGGAACGACGCAGACCGAAGAGCCTGTGTCCAGTTGCATGAGCAGGTCCACACAGCCCCATGTGAACAGCCGCTGGACTTGCGCAATCGTGTTGATTTTGCCCTCTTGATGAGGTCGTGGAAAAAGGATATCAATACCGCCGTCGCCATCAGACTCTGTTCCACAAAAGGCGTTGGCCTCTGCAGCCGATGTTGTCTTACGTGAAGTGCAGTGCTGTGCAACGTGTTAAGTGTCCAAACTTGTCACAGCGAAAACATGTCTTTTTTACGAAACCCGCTGTCACTGGGTAGGTGTGATGCTCTTCCACAACGGTAACAGCGCTCTGATGTTCTCCCCTTCCCTTTGGGCCTTGCTTGGAGTTTGATTGGTTCGGCTCCCTTTCGCTCTCATTTTCTGTAGTCCTCCCTCTGGCTTCCCCATCTGCGTGGTGTCTTTCGTGGCCGCCTCTGCAGCAACTGTCATGTCCACCGCCGAATCTAGCGTCAGGTCCCGGCATGCCAACAGGGTCTGTTGCAGCTTCTCGTTGCGCAGACCACAAACACGGCGGTCACGCAACATGCAGTCCAGTAGCAACCCAAAATTGCAATTGTCCGCGAAGCAACGTAAGTCGACCAGGAATTCGTGAATTCGGGAATTCGTAATCAGAACTAACGCATTTTTTTTTTTAATGTCGACACTTTTCTTCTTTTGCAGCGAAATATGGATGCCAAGCGAGAATTAGGAGCTGGATTGACACCAGCTTATTTTGGTTCCTTTTTTTATCGTGTGTGTTTAGTACAATGCAATGGAATGGCGCCGCCACTCGTGGGTATACGCCACTGGCCGCTTGTTCTGGCTGTGAGTTGAGGGGAAACGCTGCTCGTTTCCAGTCTTTCTTACTACCATTACACAAGGAGAAAAACTAACGCGTGTTTTACGAGTTGTAAACGTCAGGAATACATTCTAAGTACGCAAAGTACAAAAATCGTTGCACTGCCCCGTTAAAGTGAAACAGCTAAATAGCTAAATTGCACGTTAAATGTAACTTTAACAATTATACCTTTGCTTTTCATTTATATGTGCCGAAGCACGTGCCCAGGTATACAACGTTGCTGCAATCCTTTTTCTATTTGTACGTCGTGGTTGATCTCGTAAACCGGGGAGCGTGTATAGCCTTCGCATTTTCACCCTCTTCGAAGACACCCATCCTCCGATGAGACAAGCGTGTGCCCCTAATGACACGATAGCCCTTGGTCTTGTAAACGTAATAAAATGAGATAAGTGCGGTGACGCAGAGATGGATTCCTGCCCGGCGAGGAGCCAGATCATGTGCACCGTTTGCAGGCCGTTGAAACGGGTGGGCATGAGAGCCCAGTCGAGGCAACTTCGATAATAATATTATTTTCATCATCGTCGTTTCTCACGCTGATTAGAACAACCTCTCATTGCAACGGAAAAAAAAAGGTAAGCGGCACATTCTTTTTAAAAGCAGGGCACGCAGTATGCTATATGCCACATGAGGGTGTTCCGGAACACTCCTCGATCTGCATGTAGATGCGCCACCTGTGATTTCGTAAGGCTACTCTTGATACACTGCCACTACGCTTGAGCCTGATTCTACTGTGATTTGGAAGCAGATGCGTTGCCCCTCTTTCTAAAACACAATTTACTGCTCCAAAATTGAAAATATTTGCGACCCCCCCACCCCTCCCCCCCGCGCCGGGCAAAATTTGTCGATTTTTCTCAGCATATTCGCCTTACTGTGAATTGTGATCGTGACAGTATGAGGACGAGGGGGGGGGGGGGGGGGTGGGGGGGAAGAGAACTAAAGAGTAAAACAAATAAGTCAACATGAGATCATACTTGAATTCGTCAATGTGTCGATTTTGCTGGCCAGTGCTGTACACCTTCCTCCAAAACACGAACGAAAGCTCGTTCTTACTTCTCAAACTTAGAACGGGTTCCCGTTACAAGTTCCAGCGGCTCGATACAAAAGAAAGCGTTCCCGTTACGTTTATATGATTGGAACGTGTCGTTACGTTAACGTTACATTTGCGTGTTTCAATAAAACATTCTGCTGGATAATTAGTCGAGTTAAAATAAAGCTAGCGAGTGAAAATATCCACATTCAACTATGTGTCGAGTCGCCACGATCACATTTGTTCCAGTTGCCTGTTTTCGACTATCTCTCGGACACATTCCCAACACTCAAAGTCAAAATTAGAAATAGCCAAAAAAAAAAAAAAAAACTATATGCCTACTAAATTAGGGTAAAATTGTAAATAAATAGATAAAAAAAAAGGAATGCCTTGTTTCCTGCCGTTTCCTGGAAGACTGAACGTGTTCCCGTTTCAGTTCTGCCTATGCAAGACGTAACAGCGGTGTTTCTCCGCTCCTCCGAAAAGATCATTTCCAGGAACGTCGTTCCTTGGAACGCCGTTCCGTACAACATATAAATAGATAGTAAATAAACAGTGAATATGAAAGTAAGTAAAATCCTCCTTACGCACGTCACTATGGCGTAAATAAACTCTCTAATTCGTAAAAGATCCAAACAGTGCCGCTTTTCCCCTATGCAGTCCGTCTCATTTTCAAAGGTTAAGCAGCTCAAACAAAACGAGGACAATAAAGACACAAAGACGACAGGACGTAGCGCCCGTCCTGTCGTCTTTGTGTCTTTATTGTCCTCGTTTCGTTTACGCATTTTAACCTTTGAAATGAGCATGAACCAACTCGCCCAAACACAAGTTTTAATCCAAGGTCTCATTTTCTCCTGGACAAGCCCGGTAGTCAAGAGGATGTTGCTGGAAGAGGCAATGCGGGAGGTGGGTGACTTCGGTCGCTTCCAGTACCTGCTCATCGCGTACCTGTGCGTGTTTGTGGCACCGCTCCGCGTGCTGCCACTCTTCGCGCACATCTTCAGCCTTCTGGTGCCCCCGCATCGATGCCGCTTGCCCCGAAACGTGTACGCGGCCATCAACGTCTCCCAGGAGAACCTCCTGGAGATGGCCTTACCTCGTGATGATGACGGACACCTCAGCCGTTGTCGGATGTACGACGCCAACGCCACGCTGTCCCGGTGGCTGGCGGTGCACGGCTCTGCGGACACTGTGGATGACATGCATTCTTCCTGGGGAGACGTCTCCTCCGAGCTTCCTGTAACGACGTGTCAGTTTGGCTGGGAATACGACTTCACGCTTTTCTATCCCAGCGTGGTCTCCGAGGTGAGGTCTTAGTCGAGCAAAGCCGGAAATACTGATTACGGCGTATACGCTCAGCACGAGTGTCGTGAGAGTATATAGTAACGTTATTACAGGCAGTATCTCGGCCTCTCCGTGAGTCAAGCTGAACCTCACTTCAAGGAGCGAGTTGATGTATAAGCGAATGGTGCACGGTCGCGTCGTGGAACGTTTCTTACGGGGTTGTTTTTGTATCATGACCCTCTTTCTGCCAGGGCTTTGGACAAACTATCAACGACGTGTTGTAAGGCAAAGACTATAATGCCGCGGGCGATGCTCGCTCGCAGAGAAAGCTTTATCAGATCGTTTATGTGGCTACATGCTACACCGCTTTGAGCACACCCTTCAAAATAAGTGTAGGAAAAGAATGGCAAAAAAATAAATAATCAATAAATAGCAAAAAAAAAAAAAAAGAAGAAAAAAGCTAAAGGCGTAAGGCAAAAAATACATTCCCGTGAAATTATTTTTAAATGTGAGATATTAAGCTCGCAAATTTCCCTAACCCAGGAATCGCATTCGGGATTAGAGTGCTGTATTTTCTTTTTTTTTTTTTTGCTTTTAGGGGAAAAAAACGGAAAGATTTAATTTCTTTTCATTTTATTAGCCATTTTTCTGTGGGGTGGCAGGGACAAAAGGTGCTTTAGAGTACCCGATTAAGGTCCCGTGTCCCATGCAGGTTTCGAAGGGGCACAAAAAATACCCCTCTCCCCCCCCCCCCCCCCCCCCCCCCTAAAAAAAAAAAATGTTGTATACACATTTTTATGCAAGATATTATTTATGCTCCAAAATATGATCCCTTATCTTTTTTCAGAATGTATCTATCGCACTAGCTCGTACGCATTTTTGGGTGAGAAATGACTCCGTGTCGGTCTTAAGATAATGAAAAAGGACTTCAGTAATGTTGAGCATAATTAACTGCTATATAATAAGCAAGCGATGTTTATATATATATATATATATATAAGCAGATGTGTAATTGTTATAACAAAGACACTCGATGGATCGGATCACTTTTTTCCGGAGCACTAGCAGTTTTTCAAGGTTACTTTTTGTTCTCGCTTCCCTAACCAATGAACAGTAATATAAATGAGAGTGAACGAGTGCATAAAATAATTGGCACTCAAGCCATGTTGTTAATAAATATATTAATTTATGTATTGTGCCGATTGATCTGGAAAGAGTGAAAGATAACTTGAACATATGAATTGTCCAGTACGGGGGTGTTCATGAAACCCTACACCCAGGAACTTTAAAGATTCAACCTTCTCCAGTTTGGAGGAGTTAAACTTTATACCAATGTCGTTGTTAAGCATCTTATTTCTTGCTCTGAAAACAGTATATTTAGTTTTTTTTTTTTTAGATATTAAATTGAAGCTCGTTTGCAACTAGCCAAAATGATAAATTATTGAACCAATCATTAGCTGTACTTTCAAGATCCTGGAGGTTGGGGGAAAAAATGCTTTCGAGTCGTCTGCGAATAATACCGTTTCTGCGGGATGCGAAATGTTAGCTATGTTACTATAATAATGAAACTAGCTATACAATATTAACTATATAAATTATATATATTCGCTTCAACACACCGACATTAACAATCTAAGTACGTGCAGAAACGATAGAATCAAATGGTATGACCGACAGCACGCAGGACGTCCTCAGTTGTTGCCATCCCAGCGGTATACTTTTCACGTAGGTTCTTGAGACGGCTTTGCATTTCGACAAGCGCCGGCTTCCTGGGGAGAACGCCGACTCTTTTGAGCGTAAGGCGTCGATGGCCTTCCGCACTATTGAGTGGCTCATGGCTGTGACCATGGCCTCCTCTATACTCACAAAGCCTGGCAGTTTGACGACGGAGCATTTAGAGCGCGAGGATCTGGTAACACCGAGTATCAAAGAGCCAATTCTCGGGGGACTCGAAACACAGTTGTTCGCTCGGTAGAAGTGTGTTTCGGCGTCTCGCCGCAGCGGGGCGCCAGTCACGTGGCTTTCCTCTCATCCGTTGTCAGCCGCTCCACCTTCTCTATTTCGGCGGCCGCTACCTCGTAGCGATCTGCCAAGCTTTGTCAGTAAATAGGAGGCTATGCGGTGACCTGCAATGCTGCCATACAGGCACGTAGCCAGGATTTTGTTTCGGGGGGGGGGGGGGGGGGGGGGCGCACATGACAAAATGCTGTATGAGGGAGAGGGGGAGAGAAGGTCCCAACAAAATGAAAGATTTCGGGGGGGGGGGGGGGGGGCGTGCCCCATGGGCTGGGCGGGGGGCCCATGGGGCACGCCCCCCACCCCCTTCCCCCCCCCCCCCCCGAAATCTTCCATTTGATTTCGGCTACGTGTCAACGATTCACAGCCGTGTGTTGAAGGGCATGCGCCTGTTCCTTTTCATTACAAAATAAACAGAACAATTACATCACATCAAACCAGAGTGCGATTACTGTCTTAGGGGAAATGAGCGAGGTTAATACCTCCCATTTCGAAAGAAGTTCATCGGGAAATTATTTTTTCCTTGCCCCTTGGGAAAATTCTTCCTACTTACAGCTTGGGACGGTTCTTTCGGAGGGCATTTTCTTCCGGGGCCTTTTTTTTTTCGGCATCTTTTTTTTCCGAAGTCTTTTTTTCGGGCCATTTTTTTTTTTTCCGGAGCCAATTGTTTTTTCGGAACTCTTCCAAAACATGTTTTGAAGGGCTTAAAGAGTTCCCGATGTTATTATCACTCTTCGAAAACATGATCTGCTAAAACTCTCTCAACGAACTCTTCGAGGTCTGCACCACCGAGGGCAAGCAGCTGACCGCTGTCTTTTTTGTCATTTTTCGCCGGCATTTCGCTCGAACTAATAAAAGCGCGTCTGTTCACTGACAGGATGAAAACGGCAGGGCGTTCTTTCAAATATCTGTCCTCCAGCACGCGCTCGCTGCCTTCCGTCGTGCTCTGGCTGCGCGTGCACACTCGAAGCACACGAGATGCCGAAACGTTGTCGAAGGGCTCGCGATGAGGGTGAGGTGGGACAACTAAAAGACCTCCCCGCCGTTCTCATCCTTTCAGTGAAAATACACCATTTGTTTACAAACCCACAGCCCAGCGTCCGATCTCCACTGCCAAGCTTTCGGAAAACGGCTTTTTCGCCGGTATTATTTTCAGCGTTTGTACCACGTCCATTGCTCACGTTCCGAAGCGGCGAACATGCGCATGCTGGACTGGGGTGATCGTACGTCGGGTTGCGATTTTGTGACCACTTGAAAGGTGCATAGCCGCAAAGGCTACAGGGTGGGAACATTCAGCGATGGTGATACCGAGGTGCGTGAATCGCTCTTCTTAGCTGCCGGATGATTCCCTTCATACTTAAGGTGCTAGCTTACACCTTCCTGACGTGGAAATATAAGGTAAGGCTCTTATACGGCTCGTATTAACCAAATTAAGAATTACGCTTCGCAATCCCAACCTCATACTGCATACTGTTCTACGACGATCATCCAGGTGACAGCCACTAGTGCGCCCCCGGCGGGCCGTGAAAGTTGCGAATAGATTTGGTACCGCTTCGACGGAACGAACGCTCGTGCAGAGGGAGCACCAGACAAAGCATGTATTCCTCATGGTATACTGGAGCAGGTGGTCTTCACGGTGACTCCACCTCAGTGACTTTCTATTCTCATACCGCCCGCAGATGGACTGGGTGTGCGAGCATGCCTGGAAGGCGTACGTATCCAACACTGCGTTCTGGGTAGCTACAGCCGTTGGAGTGTTGATCTGCGGGAACCTCAGCGACAGGTGCTTCAAACATTCTTGCTTTCTCTTGGCATCTTTCTGTGATTGTGAATTGCTCGATATGTGTCCTTGGTACCGCTTTTTTCTAACAACTTTTTTTTTTTTTTAGCTAGACCTATAAAACAAGAAACGAATGGTAGTTGTGAAAGAGTAAACGTAGGCAACTGGTGAATGATGAAAAACAGTGAGTGCGCAGGCGAGCTGGTGGATGTTGATCATGATGTAGAAAACCCGAGACTGCGGTAAAAGCAGGGAAACTTGGTCGAAGAAGAAAGGCAGGGGAAAAGAACGTCTCAAACGTTATTTTCCCCTGTCTTTCTTCTTCGGCCAAGTTTCCCTGCTTTTACCACGGTGTCGGGTTTTCTCATCATGGTGAATGATGTCCATGCTTCATTCCAAAGCTGAGACAAAAAAAACGGACAAACGCACACACCATTTTAACCGTGGTGTGTGCGTGCGTGTGTGAGAGAGAGTGTGCGCGTGCGCGTGTGTGTTTGTGTGTGTATGTGTGTGTATGTGTTTCTTTTATCCACCAGTTTCAGCGTGAAGTTGAATGGTGCTTATTTCTAGAATATTAATGTCTGTACAGAATGTTTCGGGGCAAGCTCTGGTGATCGCATCTTTTCGTCTGCCGCGATCATTTGCTCTAGTCTCCTCCTTTGCCATGATTGGCTACCCCGTGCTCCACGCCGCGGAGAACAGGCGCGGGCTATCTACACGGTGGTCCAATTCACCAGGCTCGATCTAAAATAGTCCGTAAAAATCGACGCCTGCACGTAGCAATCTAAATTTTTGGTTAAAGGTGTATTTCACATGTCAGTTTTGTCTTGCAAAATTAGAAAGTGTAGTTCTCTTTCTATAAAAAATGAGGCCAAGAAACTTGCCAGGGTCTACGGCGGGCAGCGACGCAGAAGACAGGGGTCCCTGAAGCACGTGTGTACTTTAAGAAAACTATGTGGGTTCACTTTCCTGGACAACGAGTATGACGTTGCACTTGCTCGCTTGTTGACCCTGCGCAAATGCGCAAATGATGTTTTTTTTTAGTTTATTTTTTTTTAGGTCTAATCTTATTTTAGGTTTCGTCATTCGCTGGGATACTTCCGTTGTTAGTCGTGATCGGCTGTATCCGTGTACTGCTGGAAAGTGAACGCTCACACCTTCTTTTTAAAGTGTGTGGCGTGAATGGGAGTGAAGCTTTGCTAAGCTTGAAACTCCATGTGTGAAGGATACGTGCCAGCGGAGGATAACGCTCGAGTCAAGAACTGCGCAGGCGACGCGGTTTCATTGTTCAAATCAACAAGTCAAATTCATTCAATTGGCGTGGGATGAGCGGCGTTAACCGTTTCGTGCAGGATCGGACGGGTTCCCGTGATGATCGGGGTGAACGTGCTGTGCGGAGCGGCGGGCCTGTACACTTACTTCACGGCGGGCTTCGTGCACTTCGTCGTCAGCAGGGTCTTCGTGGGTCTCGTGGTGCTGGCCATCAGCATCATGCCTTTCGTCCTCGGTAAGATGATTCTCCTCGTGCCAATAAAAGTGCTGACACCAATCACTTCGACCAGCGCATAGCAATAACCATTACCATCTACGAGTAGGACATCAGGCAGACAGTATTTGTAGTTCCAACAGCGTGCATTTACCTTCATTTCCTCTGTTTCCCGTTCCGACCACCAGGCAGGGCCAAATTTCGTAGCGCATTTGGGTAAGCGGCAGCTCGCCGTCTCTCTCTTTTAAGCCGAGGCCACACTTGCACGCGAGTCACCGCGAGATCTGTGCTTCGAATGTCGCATGGCAATGAGTTCAAGAAGAAACTTGGCAGGCGGCATTCGAACCATAAATATTTCGGTGACTCGTGTTGGCAGACTGTCTTTTGAATGGTGTATGAGCAGTGTGACTAAGGTTTTACGTCTTTTCCGCTGAGCGGCGTCGCCTCCTCTGGAGTCGAGAAAAGTCGACTCGCGCATCTATATATTTTACGAAAATCTCTAGCGCGTCCATAGCGAAAGAGGAGGGACCCGAAACATGTCCAAGTAAACGCAAAGAAAAATTAGCATAATCCTTCGCATACCAAAAAGCGGAACCGAGCAAGTTCGTTGTTTTCGGTTTCTCGAATCGCAAAATTAATCAGGCTTTTTTTTTTTTTTTTTTTAATGTATTTTGTTTATAGCCACCATTAGAGATATGAGGACAAACGTGAATATTTTTTTCTGTGATTCGCGTCCCCCAGTGGTGGAGTACGTCGCCCCCGATCGGCGGATGATGGTGCTGAGTGGCTTCCAGGTCTCGTACCCGCTGGTCGGGGCAGCCTTTCCCTGGCTCGCCTACTACCTCGCCGACTGGAGGAAGCTCACGCTGGTCTCGGCTCTGCCTCCTCTGCTCGCACCCTTGTCAACCTGGTAACTACATAAAAGGCCCAGACGCGTCCGCTTTCGACTCAATCTCCCTCCAATCATCACGAAAACAAAAATTGTAGAGCTCTCTAGAATTCGGATGAGACCCGGACCCAGGCAGTGCTTTTCTGCAACACACGGAAACGGCGAATCTCGGCGAAAAGCAAAAGGCTCCCAGCGGATAATGAAGCTGGGAGTACGATTAAACCCAGAAGTGCGATGAGCGCAGGGGCAGATAATAAGCGTGATTTCTCGCTCGCTGATTAACTGTCCCTGTGCACGCGTCACATAGTTTCAGATCTAATCGTAATCTGAAGTTTGTCAATCGCCGTAATTTGCTGCCTTCGTGTCCTGTGGGAAAGTGAACCCACCGACGTATCTCAGAGTGTACCCCAACTTAGGTCACGAAACAGGCAAATAGCGCAAAAGTACCCAGTTAAGCGTGACCTCGGTAACACTTAACTGCGGTTAAGGGTAACTAGGGTATTAGGAACTGAGGAAGCTTTAGTGACGTTATGATACAAAAATGCCCACTGCGCGGGGTGTCCTGTCGAATGTACCCCGGGCAAAACGCATCAAAACCTGTTATTCATCGTTCGCTAAATTCCCCCCTTCTTCTGGACGTGCGGCTATTTCCTTCGGCAGCTTTTCAGAAGACGTCCCTTGTGTCGCCTCGAAGAGAGCAAGGATGCGAGCTTCATTGTAGCTCGGATTGTCAGAAATTTGTTTATTTCTAAAGTCACTGACAAATTACAGCTAAAACAAATGCGTGGCCTATCATAATCGTGCTTCCTTCTTCGCGATTCGTTCTTCGGCCTTCTGATCAGCTGCGCTATGTGATTGGCTGCGAATAAGATACCCGAGCCTCGCCACGCGTCTCTTAGTGACCATAGTAAGATGGAAAATGCCGTACTGCTCAAAACATAAGATCAAATAAAATCGCCAGTTCCCTTCCAACACGAGTATATCAGTGTAACAGCCTAATTAAATTAAATATATTTTTAACGCTTAGCGCCGAACGGCGCTAACGAGCTCCAGCCGACGTACACTCTAAAAAAAAAGCCCGTGAGTCTGCTTTTCCGCACAACACTCGGAGAGCCAATCACCGCAACTTACGGAGGCAGATCAGCGAATGACGACGCCGAAACATATGTTTAGACCAAAAAACGCAGTCTGAGTTGTGACATTAAGCGATGTAAGCGTGACGTTTTGCATGGCTTAATGTCACAACTCAGACTGCCTTCTTTGGTTTAAACATATGTTTCGGCATCGTCATTCGCTGAGCTGCCTCCGTAAGTTGCGGTGACTGGCTGTTTGAGTGTTGTGCGGGAAAGTTGACGCACGGGCTTTTTTTTAGAGTGGACGCCTGCTCGTCCAATCGAACGCCGGTATCGATGCCCGCTGCGAGATCGCGTGCAGTTTAATCTCATCGGCTTTCCAGCGCTCACCTCGTGTTGAAAAGCAAATTCCCGATATGGAGGCTTTGAAGTGACCGGACTGACAAGACAAGCGCTTTTCTTTCTTTTCCGTTTCAGGTTTGTTCCGGAGTCTCTGCGTTGGCTCATTTCCCGAGGGAAAGAGCAGAGATCGAAGAACATCCTTAAGTTCGTCGCTAAAGTCAATGGCAAAAAATTGTCAGATGACTTCATGCAGAAATGCCAGGTAAGTCCATTTATGTTTGTTTTTCTTTCTTAAAACTTGTGGCAATAGGTATTTTTTTAGTGGTTAGCGCACTGGTTTTTCTGAAGTCACAAATTCAACTCTTACGAATTTACAATTACTGTTGTATTATAACTTATATTTGGTTACCTAATATTGAAGTGTCATTGCCGTTTATTAAGCAGGTATGAGTGGGATTACAAGGAGTGTAAGAAGGAAGCCCCTGCCTTCTTTTATTCCCCCCACCCCACATTGTTTTACATGAATGTCGCGAAGCTACATATTAGTTACTCCAGTTTGGATTGAAAGGGGGAGGGGTCCCAATCATATATACGTTTATTTCTCATGAACGCCGATCATGAAAATGCATGATCGTCAGAACACGCAAATCAAAGTTCCACCATATCAACAAAGTCTAAAATTCTCTAAAAAAAAAAACAATAAAAGTAGGCGAGATGGTGTGGTGTTAACCATGATGTAAATTATTCTAAGAGCACCAATTGATATTGAAACGTTTTCTTACAGATCTTTTTCTCGTCCCATCTACTTCTGTGTGTGTGCATTTTTTTTTCTTGTTTTAGCTTAATTTATACTGTGGAAGGGCTGTTCGTAATTTCCTACTTGGCGCAGTTCCCTCCCCCGACAGAACTTAGCGGGACCAAGGCCTCATCCATAGACCTGCTCAAGACGCCCAATCTACGAAAGAACTTCATCTTATCCCTGGTTGTGTGGTGGGTCGAATTTCTAACTGCCCTTCGCGTCTGAATGGCAGCATGATTTTGGAAGGTTAATGAACCCTAGGGGGTGGACTTTTGGCACAGAAATACATGACGCTTTCTCCGATGACGTCGTGTCGTGGCAATAACGTCGTACCAAATTCCCAAGACCCATTCGATAACACGTTTCTTCTGCGCTCCTTGCGTGCCTCCACCCGGACTCATTGATTGGATAACAGCTTTCAACTAAACGCTCACCCAATCAGCGCCGCTCTTCAGCTTGGTACAACAAAACCTCCGTATAATTCTGCGCCATAAAGTATGCGAACATTGCCATCAATCAGCGCTGCTCTCATTCGTTGCGCCGTGGGTGATACATTATGTTTAGCCCTTTGATGCCCAGCATTGCCCGGGAGCATCAACTCAAGAATTATTAATTTTCTCCCGTTCCGCATGCGCTTTAATACATTTAGCGTCCTCTGTCGTAAGTGTGAGGATACCTGCGCTTAGCAGAGAACGTTCGAAATACATTTTCAAGACAGGTCACTCGTCCTTCAAAACCAAAACCGACAGTGGATGTGAGGTATGTATGATGGCGTCCATCACTGGCCTCAAGATTGCGGGAAGAAAGACCGACGCAAATATTCCAAATGCCGTTATACCTTTCACCCCTGTGCGAAATTCGAAACGCGCCTGGGCCTTTTCCCGTGTCGTACTGCTTTCATTCGTTCGACGTGAAGTGGATGGATGGATGGATGGAGGTTAATGGCTATACCCTTTGTAACGGGCGGTAGCTTACGTCACCTAGCCTAAGTCTGAAAAGGAAAACATATGATTCCTCCCGCCCTTCCAAGATCAATTTTCTCCCCACAACTATCGCTAGGCAGTGTGGAAGGATGACCTTCGGGAGATCGGGCAAAAAAATTAATTCATCAGCCTCCGTCTTTTTCCTCCGGCGAGAGAGTCGCCAATTTTCCTCTGGTAAAACCTTGTCGGTGTTACCCCAGCACTTGACCCATTGGGAGACAGTGCTGAGACTTGAAGTAGTGCCGCAAATGCCCAATGTTGCTCCCTAGCGACATTTCAAAACGTGCTTGCGAAAAAAAGGTTTTTTTTTTTTTTTTTGGGGGGGGGGGGGGGGGGGGGGGGGGGGGGTTTCGGGACCAGATTTTTGTCATTCTCTGTTTTCTAAAACCGTGTCAGGGTTTGTAGGTTTCTAGTACTTCAAGTAAAGTTTTGGACATGAGAGGGTTAGGGAGGCACAAGGCAGAAGCCAGGCTTTTATCAGTGGGAATCAGCCAGCATCAACGTTCCAACGCGATGAGGGTATTCTTTTCATCTTAACAGATTTTGTGTCAATTTTGAGGCCACAGAGATGGAACCTCAATAATAATAAACACTTGACGCTGCCACTGACACTTCATGATTTTTTTTTTAATTGATAGCTGTGTTATCGTTTTGTGACAAATTATATAAAATATATATTCGTTTTTTTGTCTTGCTTTTAGCTCGTGGTAATGAGTGAGCTTTAAGTTAAATTGTATTTCTATCCTTTAATAGAGGCACCGATGTCACGAAAATGCAAGATGCGCTGGGGATTTGATTGTCGACATTATTGTCCAACTCGACACCATGTATTGACAGCTCCAAAGACACGTTTTTTTTTTTTCTCCACCCGACTTTTACAGCTTTGTGCTTTGATCCCCATCAATGACTAAGGAACTGCGTTTACCTGCATATCTTGATGCTTTCTGATTCGGGACAACACTGAGTGACCGAACCTCAAAGATGTCGAAAGACGCACAACTGTTCGGTAGAGGCAAAAAAAAAAATTAAAGACCTTTACAATTCCCATGCCGAATTAGAGCGCAGCTCTTGGGCAGGAGGAGGGGATGCGGAGAGGAGGGTATACCCCCTCCTACTCTGTATCCTCTTCCCCTCCCCCTCCCTCCTTCCTCCCTCGTGACGTCACGAGGGTCACGTGAAGGTCGTGACCTACGTCGTGAAGGTCACGACGAAGGTCACGAGTGACGTCTCAAAGGTCACCCATAAAGGTCACTGTGAATGTCGTGACCTTCGTCTTGACCTTCACAAGTGACCCTAGTGATACTCGTGACGTCACTCGTGGCGTTTGTAACGTCACACGTGACGTCACGTGTCACGTTAGTAGGAGAGACTTCCCATAATGCAACGCGTGGTTACGCCGATGGCGACGCGTCGCCGCTCAAGCCGGGAACGGGCGTCTGAGAGGTACGCGTCAAAGATCACAGCATCTGTCAGAACTGCAAAAGTATAGACGCCTTACACACGCGCCAAATTACAGCCGCCATTGCTGACCTTCTCTTGTCTTACCGAGATGCCGAGCAACTGAAACAGTAGTTGACAATTTTCTACACAGGCCGACGCTTTAGAAAAGGACACAGTTGAATCTAATGTGGCAATAACCTGCAGGCTGCTATGATAATGATGAAGTGAAACAAACGAAATAAGAGGAAACAAAAACTCAAGGTCAGTTATGGCGGCGTCCATGCACAGCTGCTGCAAAGCGTCTATGCGTGAAAGAGACCTTCGTTGGAGCGGCTAATTGAAATTATATTTTGTTAACACGTTAGTTATTTTACACGAGCATAAATAAGCGGGTTTGACATAGTTATGCTTCACCATTACGACACCAAGCTGGAAACTTCGTCCCAGTGTTGTATAAACCTTTTTCTATATTTTAGTGGAAACGAGCACTGCCTGAGCACTTGAGTCGACACGGATTTCGTTACAATGGCTTAAAGCTCGCTTTTCTGCAGGGAAGATAATCCTCTTAGCGCTCCCCTCTCCTAATCTGGGAGGGAAGTCAAGTTGGGGCAAGATAAAAAGTGGAGAGGATATAGAAAAGGAGGAGGCGCCGGCGGGGAAAAGTGGAAAGTGCGAAATGTACGTCGGCCTTTAAAGGCTTGGAACATGTGAGTGACCGCGGCGGCGACGTTGTCCGGACTTAACTTCCGTATCGCGCATTATTTTTTTTCTCGACTGTTTGTGTGTTGAGAGAAATCTTCACGTCTGCTTTTGGCACATTAAGAACATGAAATATTCATTCCTTGCGTTATTTAGTGAAGGTAATAAAATAATTCCACGGCGATTTTAATGTGTTCAAACTAGTATTGTGCGAATGTTCTCATTTTTTAATAGTAGTCTCCAATAATTGGCTGTTTCATATTCGCTTCGAGATGAACTGCGATATTCGTATTTTTTAAAGTGTTGAATGTGGAGGGTTAGCCCCGCTGGGCGCGCTCCTTACTTACCGAGCACCAGTGCTCTCGGAAAAAAAGCAACATTCGCGGAGCTCGGTTCCGCAGGTGTTGCTTCCCCGCGGTGCACCGTTGCTCGGTAGGAAGCGCAAAAAGCGCGCTTTCAAAGTGGGATGGTGCACGCGCGTGCCTGGTGTATTTAAACAGAAACGAAAGCTTTTTGACTGTTAATATTTACATTGCAGTAAAGTTTTCATAATTAAACTGTTGCTATTATGTGAGGGTTTTGTTAGTCAGAGATGCCCTGACTATCTCCGTTGGTCTTTAGCGAATACCTATCTTTTCTCTAAATTCGAGATTTAAGAAAAGGTAGTAGCATACAAAAAAAGAGATATATAAATCCACTCATTTAAGTATAGCTGTGCATTTATAGACCAACACGGGGCCCAGACGTCACGCAGCGGCGGTGGCGCTGTCGACGGCACTGCGCATGCGCAAACGCTTCACTTCACGCGAATTTGGTTTCTGCGCAGGCGCAGAGCCCACACCTGGTGTGGGCAAACGCGGGCTTGTTTTGTAGACAGCGTGTTGGTCTATATGTATAATAGTATGCCAAATATGTTGTTTACTTGCCACCCCAGTGTAAGCGTTGGACTCTCTGAGGTCACAGCCCATAAATATAGTTGATTAAATATAACTTAGCTTAGGAATAGACAAGTGGAAGCTTCGGAACAACCTTCGCAAGTTCAGTTGGGCTTCTGTTTAAGTTTTGGACAGTATAATGAAAGGTTCAGAGAGACTACTCGAAACTTGATTAGAAAATATCCGGCCAAAACCACTATTCCCTTTGTATTCGCTTTGAACTGAAAATCCACTAGTCGCACACCTTTAAATAAAATATATTGAATGTTTTTAACAAAGCCCGTTATCCCAGAAATTTGTCCGTCGCCCGTCCGTCCGTGCAGTTCCCCGCTAAATTTAGCGGGAATATAGACGTAACATGACGTCACGCGACTTCAGGTCACGTAGCACCGCGACGTCACATCACCTGACCTGACGACACGGTGTCAAGTCCAACGTTGATCAAGTCGTAGTGTCACGGGATTTAATGACGTCACGCGATCGGACTTTGCGTAGATCTTACGTGTCGTCAGGTGACGTGACGTCATGGCTTCTTAAATACAGCGTTTCATGCGTTACAGTACTTCTAAGATAAGGTCGCGAGTAATTTTTTTCTCTCCTATGCCCTCAGGACGTTGGCGTGCCTGGTGTACACGGCCGGACAGCTGTACGCCGCCAACGCGAGCCGGAACCCGTTCGTAATGACGACTGCCGTGAACCTGGTGGATATCGTGGCCACCATCATCGCGCTGCCCCTTGCCGACCGCTGGGGACGCAGGCCTACCATGATGACCGCTTACACCTGCGCCGCCTTCGCCTACGTCTTCGCGGTCGCCGTGCCTAGAGGTATAAGGTGGATCTGTAGAACAGGTGGCACTTAAATGACAAACGCCTTTTTTATTTTTATTTTGTTGCCCGATTTAATAATTTTTCTGGAGATCGATGGGAGTATTGGTTATGAGGTTCGGGAGCCACGTGCGCCGCGTTTTGCATTTAGCTCGAAGAACAGCGAGGGTGACTTGCAGGGCGTCAAAGCTTGGGAAGGGTTTTATCTCGAGCGGCGAATCGAGCAACGGAAGCAGCTTTAGAAGTTGCTTCTGTTAATCGATTAGCCTTTTGCGTGATTCCCCGCCGTGCGATCGGTTCGTTAACTTCTTGTACCACCGTCTTACGGGCATGTTAAAGGACTTCGGGAGCAAGTCCTTCGAAGGATCGACAAACCGGCACACGCAGAGCCAAGATCATCATCTGATTTGCGCCAATCTTTCGAAGGAGTAAAGCGAGGGTATTTTCGTCGATTTGTGGAACAGATGTCAGCGAAGGTCCGTCAAGCTTCGTGGGCATCAATCGGAGTTCCCCCGTTTTAACAGAGAATTTAAACTTTGACACTCACGCACGTAAACCTCCCTAAAGCCGGAGCCGCACTGATGGTTTATCGTACAAAATACGCGGATTTTTCTGCAGGCATGACGAAAGAATTATCTGCGGACACGTATCACGCGTGTTTGAAGCATGCTTGCTTCGTACATGTCTACGCTGCGAACATGTCTGCTGACTGTCTTTTGTGTCGACATGTACTAAAAGTGTGACCGCGGTGGTTTGCCAGTATGTGAAAGCGATCATTCGCTTTTGCCATGCTGCTGACAGGAACACACGAAAATATAGGTCGGGTTTCGTTGTGCATCTCAGACGTGTTTTCTCTGTCCGGCCAGGAAGCCCGGTTGTCGAGACCCTGGTGTTCATGGCAGCCAGGGTGTCCCTCACGATGGCCTACAACGTGGGCTACCTGTACGCTGCCGAGGTGTACCCGACTGCGGCCAGGTCGCAGGCCCTGTCTATGCGACAGGCCTTCGGATCTGTCGGCAAGTTCTTCAGTTCGCAGGTCACGCAGCTGGTGAGTGCCGCCTTCGCTCTCGACTTTCTCGGGGTCACTGTTGAAACTGAACGCGCGAGAATTCGTGAATGGGTACATGTGTGAGCGTGTATGCGCGCGCGCGTGTACGTATGACGCCGTAAACAGTTTAGAAGAAGTAGCTTCCCCTGAATTCTTAATCATTCACCGACTATATATCAGAATTAGTCTAACCATTACATCTCCTTTCACAGCATGACATATGAAAACCGAGCTATCAATAAACAGAAACAAGTACAAAAGCTGGATTTCTTGAGAGTATACTGTTTTCCGGTTCCGACTTGTGCACAACAACGCAGGCGGCGTACGGGCGTCCTATCCCGCTGATCCTGATGGGAGGGATGTCGTTCCTGCTGGCCGCGCTGACTTTCCCGATGCCCGAGACGCTGCACCAGCGGCTCCCGGAGACCCTCGACGACGGCGAGCGCTTCGTGCACGGCCAGTACACATGCTGCGTGGCCGAGAAGCCCTCGGACGCCCAGCCGACCGCCAGGGCACGCTCCCTGTCCGTCATCTCGGCGGCGTCGGCCGTCAGCGTCAGCCCCGACTAAGGACCTCGTCGACAGCCGCGACGGCGCGCTTGGCGGACAGACGAAGTAGAGGAACGAACGAGCGAGATCATTGTGGACAGGGGTCAAGAGATTGGAGGCATTGAGAGCATCGTGATGAAAACGGTCAACTGTCAATGTGCAACTATCCCGAACCAAACAAGTGTGATAAACCTCAAGAGCGACTCGCTAAGATGGAGTCTGTGGCTAAACAATAGAAAATAGTAACGCGGTGGCTACAACTCTGCAAAAACCATAAATGGCAAGACTTAAAAAAAAAAATTCGTATCAACCATTTCAAATCAATAACCACACAAGAACAGATATATACGTATATTGCGACTGCCTGTTTGGTCAAGGCTGACTGATTTCTCAGCAAGGTTCCTGATTTTGTTGTAACGTGGCTACGAAAGCCTACAAAAAAATAAAACATCAATTTTATTTTTGTTTTTTGTTTTACTTTTGAGGCTTAGGAATGATGGCTCGATTATGTTTGTGAATTTTGCGCAGTGGTTTCAAATTAAGTTTGAATAATGAGTTCAGCTATGGTGTCAGGTGCATGAGTGGGTCGACTGATGGCACTTACCCCATCCATGGAAGAAAACAGGGACCTTCCAGGAACTCTTAATAATATCATTGCTTTTTCTTCTTTTTTACCATTGATGAATAATGGCCTGCGAGAATCCCCACTAAAAGAAAAAAAAAACAGAAAAAAAAAACATGATTACCGAGATACTCGGAGAAAAAACGACGACGACGATCGGATCAGGAAGCACCGATTTCTCGCTCCTCCTGTAAGCTTGAATTATTTCACGCTATTCCGATCGTTTTGGCTACCGCGAACAATAACTTAGTCACTGGACCCTGCAGAGGTACCCTGTCGGCTAAAAAGCGACAACTAGCGACCGAGTCGCCGCGCCTCAATGACGCGGTTCCTGAAACCTTGACCCCGGGCACCAACATGGATGCCGTGGCTACCACAAGCCAAGTTCCAGGCATGGAACCACATTTACTATTACAAGGCCAGCCAACGGCGAATGAAGATTCCAATAACGATATCCCAATGAAGAAACAATGCTTGCAACTCCCTCAAGAAAATATGGATGCAAGAACGTCAACCTACTCGATTAATGAGGAAAACAATGACATTCAGGACGGGACTGATTTCACCCAAGTCACCGTGCGAAAAAACCGCCCAGCTGGTATCCCCTTGATCATCAAGCCAAAGCAACACGGGGCTTCTTTCTGGAAAATCAATCCAAACAAGATTGCAAAAGAAATTGTAGCAGTATCGCAAGAGAAGGTACTCGCCCCACGCATAAGAAAGGATGGCACTATCACCGTCAATGCGGCATCACTAAACGCGACAAATAGACTACTTGCGATGAAATCCCTAGTCGGAATAGACGTGTCGGTGACCGTCTCCGAGTCGTACACCCGTAATGTTGGCAAGATCAACAATATCCCAGTCCAATATTCAGACTTTGAACTTCTCGACTACTTAAAAGATGCTGGTGTCATCGCAGTCCAGCGGCAAATTTCGTACTCAAGGAAAGAAGACGGCTCCATGGAGCAAGAGCCAACGGAAAGTGTCCTGCTTCAGTTCCCGCAGGATCAGCCGATGCCCTCCCGGGTTTTCCTGGGATTCACAAGTCACCCGGTGATGGAATACTTCGGCATCCCGACACAGTGTTTCCGCTGCCAACGGCATGGACACATTGCAAGACATTGTCGTGGCCAACAAAGGTGCAAGGTGTGTGCAGGGCCGCACAGCTACAAGGAGTGCATGAACAAAACCAACCCAAAATGTGCCAATTGCGGAGAAAAACACTGTGCTTCGTATTCAGGCTGTCCTCATAAAAAAGCAGCCGCTGCAGCCAGAAAACACGAGATCCTGAACGGACCGATAAGAAACAACCGCTCCCCGTCCCCAAACCTAGAAATTATACGCCCACCTCCTGTCCCTTTGCCTCCTCCCCACCCACCTCCACTCCCTCCTCGACCTCCTCGATCAACACAGCAAGTCCAGATGTCTCAACAACCTCCCAGGCCATTGTACTCGGACGCACTAAAGCGTCGCCAGCAACAAGGCCAGATATCACACCAACGCACGTCTACTTCTGGTCAGGCTGCTGGAGGAGACAGACAAGCAGCGATCACACCAGTGCCAGCTCCCCGCACTCTAAGAAAAGGCATTCATCGACATGAACATCATCCGCAATACTTGGAGACCCGAAGATCGAGTGATGTTGAACATTTACTGGTACCCATGTTTTTTACAGCTCTCCGGGCTATACTTGATGCTGTACCATCAGCCAACAACCTACCGGAAGTAACAGCGCTATTTACTCTAGAAAGGTTAGTTATGTCGTCACGTGCAACTATGAATGAGGAGTATTCCAATGCCTGACATATACAGTCATACAGGAATATTTCAGTGGAACACGAATGGATTACGGAAAAAGTCAGGCGATTTTCGTCAGTTTGTGGCACAATATAATATACCAATACTTGCATTATCAGAAGCTCGCGTAGATGATGATTTTCGTCTTTCAAATTATGTACTATACAAGTCATCTCGCCAACACGGCCAAAGCCGAGCGTTATTGGCGGTACGGAGAGATATAATATCTGTGCCCGTGTTTTCGTCAACTACAGAAGTTCCAGAATTTGTTGCTTGCAAGGTACGATGTGGTGAGACAATGTTGCATATAGTGAGTGTCTACATTGAACCTCGGACTCCGCTAACCCATTCGGAATTCTCTGCAATTTTCAGCCATATTTCTACTCCTTACATAATATGTGGAGATTTTAATGGCCACCACACTATGTGGGGGAGTGATCACTGCGATCAACGTGGAAATCTGATCGGGAAATATATGGACGAGAACAACATCTGTGTCCTCAACGACGGGTCCCCAACGTTCGTCCGGGGCCATACCTATTGCAGCTATTTGGATCTGACACTATGTTCTCCCGACATTTCACCTCAAGCGACATGGACGACTGATAGAGAAACCCGAGGCAGTGACCACTTCCCAATTCTCATTCAACACCCAATTTTCGATGTTCGTGGACAGCATTATCGAGTTCGGATTACGAATTGGAAAATGTTCAGGCACTTCAACACTCAGAACCTTCCCAATGTAAAGGAACCCGAGGAATTTGCAATCTCCGTTTTAAACAATTGTGAACGAGCAACGCGTCTTGTGACCGTACCCACTGGACACGTCGGCGTCAATGGCGAATACGAAAAATTAAGGGCAATAAGGCGCAGAGCAGAACGTCGTTATCGAAGATCTGGTCGTGTTGAGGACTACAATGAGGCCCAACACATTCACAAACTAATACGACGAGAGCTACAAATTCTCTCCATTCGCCGATGGAAGCAGTTCAGCTGTACTCTAACTCCATTCACTCCGATACCGAAGGTATGGAAGATACTTCGTTCTCTCCGTACACCAGTAATACAAAAACAACCTTTCCGGGCTCTAGCTCTACTTCGAGGTACATCGGAGGTAGTAATTGCGAATGAATATTGTGCTTTGCTAACGCAACAAAGTGATATGGTGTCCTCTATAGAATACCGTTCTTCTCACGAGAAAGCGACTCGTGCATTCAAGAAAGAGCTGCACTCAGTGCAAACAGACCTAGACTATGAATTCAACACCCGTGAAATGGAGTGCGCGCTACAAAGTATTCGAAAATCAACAGCTCCTGGTCTTGATAAAGTCACTTATGACGCTCTTTCAAATCTTGGCCCTGCCGCTACTACCGCACTTCTTGAAATATATAATGAAATTTGGAAAACAGAAAAGATACCTGAATCATGGAAGCTGGCTAAGGTAGTTCCACTACTAAAGCCTGGAAAATCGCCGTTAAATTTAGATTCATTCCGTCCTGTCAGCTTAACAAGTTGCGTCGGTAAACTACTTGAGAAGATGATACATAATCGCTTACAGTGGTGGCTCGAAACAAGTGAAGCGTTCCCCGAAGAGATAACAGGATTTCGCCCTCGAAGGTGCACAATGGATGGCATTTTAGATCTCACCACATCCGTTGATCACGAAAGAAACAATGGAAACTTTACAGTTGCACTCTTCCTAGATATTCGTCGAGCATTCGACACTGTTAGCCATGCTCACGTTCTTGAAGGACTCGTACAGCTTGGTGTACGTGGACGGATGCTTAGGTGGATAAAGGAATTTCTTTACTGTAGAAACATAATAGTAAAAACCAACGATGGAGACAGCATGAGACATGAAATACACCATGGAGTACCCCAAGGCAGCGTGCTGAGCCCTACTCTTTTCAATGCAGTAATGGCACAGCTACCGCAGAAACTTGAATCACCTTTAAAAATATCCATCTATGCGGATGACATATGTATATGGATCTCTGGTTCATCTCGCGATATCCTAAAGAATAAGTTACAAACGGGCTTAGACACCACTTTTAGATTTCTAAAAGAACGAGGAATGGAACTCTCTGCCGCCAAATCAGCATTTCTGCCATTTACAAGAAAGAAACTCCCTGGGCTTAGGCTAGAACTCAACGGAGCATCAATTCAAAGGGTTAAATCCTATAGATTTCTTGGTGTAATATTAGATCAATCTCTCACTTGGTCCAAACATTTAGACATGTTAGAGAGTAGAATTAATTGTGTGATTAATGTATTCCGCTGCATTGCGGGGGCAAGATGGGGAGCATCAATAGATGCGATGCTCTCATTCCACACGGCGCTAATACGACAAGCGATTGCATACTCCATTCCGGTGTTAAACGGACTTTCCCGGACATCAGAGTCTCGCCTTACCTACATGCTAGCAAGAAGCTTAAGAGTATGCCTAGGTTTACCGCGATCAACATCCAGCGCGCTTGTACTCGTAACGGCAAGAGAGCCGACTATACATATTCTAAGAACACAGGAGATATGTCGTAATTCCTTTCGACTCTCCACGCGGCCTCTGTTCAATGATATTTTTACTCGCAAAGGGACCAACTTTCTTTCCACACTGAATTCTCTTCCATTATGGATTCCCGAACAACCTAACTGGATTCAAGAGATCTGTAAACCACCCTGGACGCTACCATTACTGGAGATCAACATGGACATTCCAGGCATGCAAACAAAAACATCAGTTAACACACAGATTGCAAGAACATTGACTCTTTCACATCTGGAAGAAAAATATAAAGATGACATCCACGTGTATACTGATGGATCAACCACTGAAGACGGATCGACATCAGCCTTTGTTGTGCCTGATTTTAACCATTGGTCATCCTTTCGACTATCGCATCCTACTTCCTCAACCACTGCGGAATTACATGCTTTACTCGCGGCTGCAACGTACATAAAAAGCAACTCGGCAGCGAATTCTTGGGTCATATGTACTGATTCAAAGGCAGCTTTGCAATCTATTAAGACTATGAATAGCCGTAGTGAACACAACTCCCTTGTACACAGAATTTACTTAGAACTCTCTGATGCCATCGAATTTGGCAACACTGTACATCTACAGTGGGTCCCCGGGCATACCGGTGTTTCAGGAAATCACCAAGCTGACCAATTGGCTACCGCAGCCCATACAAGTAACAACGTCCACCTCACACCTTTCACAAAGAACGACGCCAAAAGATACATCCGTCGACTACGTGAGCGAATGTCTCACGATGAATGGCTTAGCAGCATCCCACAAGACAACCTGATCCGTCTAATCGATCCGGACCTCCGTTGCCCAGTGTACACCTATTCAGCCAGGTCAATCGACACCCTTATCCATCGCCTACGACTTGAGGTAGCATACACGGGAAGCTTCCTTCACCGGATAAAACAAGTAGAAACACCGAGTTGCAAGTGCGACAACCCGGTCGAAGACGTCGAACATTTAATCATGGACTGTCCGAGATATGATCAGTGGCGCGCCCGCTTACGGATTAGTCTCGGGATACTCGACAATCGTCCATTTTCTCTCGCCAAAGTTCTAGGCCCTTGGCCCGACTTAAAGAAACAAAAGCGTGCATTAGCCTCACTAACTGCATTTCTGAAGGACTCAAAGATAGAAGCCAAATATTAAGTTCAATGATTACGAGTTACTGGTGTAGCAGGATTTAATTGCACATATTTTGTACCACTGTATAATACTGTACATATCGTACTTCTCAAAGTGCACTTGCTTGTGATATTAACGCAGCACGTTCATAGTTTACTTTGTTATTCATTATGCCCAGATTTCATAATTATTGAACATATCATATCATACTTTACCCCATTACTAGCATTGAAGTAGCCGGCCCCAAATTATGGGGCTAAAATCTTCATCTCATTAAATAAACATTGAATTGAGATACTCGGAGGCCATGCATGAACTTTTGTTTGTAACGTGCGCAACCAAAAGGGTCCCTGTACGTTTGTCGAGTAATTATGGTGGTCTTTTGTACATGGCTCATACTTTGGCATGTACATGGCTCATTCTTTGACGCGCGCTGCCGGTACCCGCACATGGATTATGCGGCAGTCAACGATGCGATTGTTACCCAAGCGCGTGCTTGGGTACCAGTCAAAGCTGAGCGTTTGCATTCCTCCTCTCTTCGGAAATACCACATATGTCGCCATCAGCACCAAGCTGTGGATAAAACAATTTATCATGAGCAGCAGTTCTAACGGTGCAAAAGAAATCTGGCAAACGCTCACTGTCAGAACACGCAGTGACCACAGAGCAGTTGACATTTCTTGTTTGTTGCGGGCTCTGTTTCCTGTCGGCACTCAATGCAAAAAGGAACGTACGTTTTCACCCTCATACAGGCTCACAATGGCTCATCGAGGTACCCTTCACTATTTTTCATTGGGGTGCAATCTCACGATTGGACAAGAACTCGCTATGACTTACAATGATCTTGTCTGCTTGCATCGATGGAAATAAAAGACCCTGCGCGCGATCCTAAATATGAATTGTTTTTACTCGCAACTTTCCTTCGCATTAACGGAAGAATACTCAGGTTTTGTATCCGAAAAGTTGCCGTTGTACATGCACGAAACTGGATATATATGTTCGCCAAAAGGCATTTTGTTATTCGTTATTTTATTGGCATACATCTTGCAAGACTTAACTAGAGGCAAGCATTCCAGTCAAATATAAATTTTGCAATGATATAACCTTGTCAAAATCAAACGACTGGAGCTACGTAATCTCAGATGTCTAATGTCTTGACGCCCCCAAAATTCACGAATATGTACTTATATTCACGGCTCTGTGGTTTGACACGGAGCTGCGAATGGCATCGATTTAAAAAAGTGTGAAAGCAGGTATAGGCGCTTGTTCATTTGTGACCGCATTAAAATATTCCGTGCAGCAGGAACTGCCCGACAAGCCATATTTGTCGTTAAATTCCTACTACTTGGTGGTCTATGCCAATACTAATCGGAACATAATTCACGCAAGCGACAGGTACATATCAGAGAAAAAAAGAACGTGCTTTAAAATATTTTTCGTTGCACAAATTGATGAAGTAAAATAGAGGCTAAAACTAACATCGAACAAAATTAAAGAAAAAGGAGAATGATAAAAAGAGAGAAAAAGAAACAAAGCAATCACTCAGTTTTGAAGTGGCGCGCTGGAGTCGCCCTGATGTCATATATTACGTCGTGAACCAGTCATACAATAAAGTGTTTACTTAAAATGCGCGTCGTCGTATTCACACTGAGCTGCGTCGCGAGTACCATGACGAATGCTAACGCGATTCAGGGACAACCAACAATAGTGGCTTCTGTTTTCAATTTTATTATATGTTTTAAATGAATCCAACACAAGCTTGTGTAGAATTAACCACCGGCCGGTCTAGTGATGAGTAATCATTACAAAGACATTTATATTAATTGCGTCTAAAATTAAGTGTGATGTTATTTTGCGTCTCAGTTCCGAGTCCTTGTCGGTGTATTAAAGCATAATGTTCTCCTTTCTAAGTGCCTTCATCGGTTTTAACGCTTTATCACAACTCTCCCTTTATTTTTTCATCCCTCTCCTTTTTTTATTTTTTCCAATGTTAGTTTTTACCCACTATTTTACTTTATTAATCTTTACAAAAAAGATATTTTAAGGCAAGCTTTTTTATATATGTACTTGTCGCTCGCATGCTAATGTTCCAATGAGTATCGGCATAGGCCGCCCAGTAGTAGGAGTTAATCAAAGCTTTAGTTTGTCTGGCAGTTACTGCAGCACAAAATATTCTAATGCGATCACAAATGAACAAGCGCCTATGCCTGCTTTTACACTTCCTAAATCAATGCCATTCACAACTTTGTGTCAAACTACAGAGCCGTGAAAATAGGTACATATTCGTGAATTTTTAGTGAGTCAAGGCGGTAGACAACTAAGAACACGTAGCTCTATTAATATTTATTTTGACAAGAGTATATCAGTGTAAAATTTACTTTTAACTGAAATCCTTGTCTCTGGATGGTTTAGTCTTGTGAGATGTATGCTAATAAAATAACGAATAAGAAAATGCCTCTTGGCGAACCTAAATATATCCAGTTCCATTCATGTACAAAGGCAAATTTTCCAATACAAAACCAGAGTATTCTTCAGTTAATACGAAGGAAAATTATGAGTCAAAACAACTCATAATTAATTACTGAAATAGATAATTAATTACTGAAATAGGCTGCGTACATCACCCACTTGAGCGATAACGCCACTGTCTGCCGGTATCCGATGGTTCACGGAGTGGCAATCGTGAATTTCTGCGAAGAAACCTCCGGTAGCGTCGCAGGGCTTCCAGAATATTGTCGATAACGGCGGCAAGCTCAGGGCAAGGGGGAAAAGATAACACGTATTGGGTCGGAAGAGGGCTTTGGATTTAAACCATTCGCTTTTGATCTATTGAACGACTTTTAGATGCACGATCTTTTGTGGAGACTTCAACCAATAAATCTTGATCCTTGTTCGAAGGAGCGCCGAGCTCTTCCGTCTAGTCGCGTACTGGTCCTTGCCGATTATGTGCCTTGGCACACGTTTATCGCAGCATTTATAGAGTGCGTCTGAGGTTGTTTTATGTCGCTCGGAACCGTTTTAATGTCACCATAAAGAAACCGGTTCAGTGTGGATGGGCGAAAAGCATGAACTAACCGGGCGTATCCAGCTAAGAGTGTTTTTATCGAGTTATATAGTGGGGTCATGTTTTACGAAGGCTAAGTGCTCGAAGTGAGCATTTCCCCGCTGCTGTCGCGTAGTTTGTCTTTTTTTTTTTTTTTTTTTTTTTTTTTTACGCTAACCGGTCTATATTTATATCTTAAATAGTTATGCTTCCTAGTAGGTTTTTTCTTATTTTTTTTATTTCTTGAGTTTCAAGGATGGCAGTTTACCGTGTTCTGGTAGAAATTACGTTGCATATACCGTTAATCATTTAGAATTTGCACTTCTCAAGGAATGTTCGAAAATCGTTTTACGACTTCATTTAAAGAAACTTTCTACTTCACATCGCGCATCCTGTTAGCTTTACTTTTGCGAATAAAACACTTCTGATAACTATTATGGCGCACATATGTACATCGTGGGCTTCGACTGCGAAGTCTCGTAGGGAATACGAGACTTCGCAGTCGCACGGAAGCAACATGAATTGAGCGTTGCGCCCGCTCCCTCCATTTAGATAGACAGATAAACTCTAGGTATACGTTCAGGGTTTAGCTGATCTCCAAACCCAGTGTGTGCCGTTGCACGCTTACTTAAAAGAAAAAAAAATTACCTGCCCTTTTTTATTTTTAAGTGTGGCACTTGAAGAGCGACGGACAAGCGTGGAGGTCGTACTGTCGTACGCTTGACTGTGTGTTTGAAAACATTAAAATTGTATGCATGTTGACGTTGAATGGATGCTGACAGCAAGCTTTTGCCGCGGTCACTTCGCCCCATGAGTGCTGTGAATCTTAGCGGAATATAAGTTGGTATACCACAGCCCGCACCGATGGTCATTTCTGAATACTTCGAGCGAATGAGAACCTACACGAGCGGACGCAACGCTCTTGAGCGGGTGTGCTATGCGCGCGCACTCGCCAGAGGAGGTCGTGCATCATTCAAGACAACATATTATAGTGTTGAAAGCAGCGTTGCGTCACTTCTCTCTGAGGTGGCAAAGCGGAGTTACTTAGTACTGCATTAAGTTCATAGTGTGTCAGTTTTGTATATGTGTGGCATCTTCATTCCTCGTCATCAACTCGGGTTCGCTAATATTGCCGCGAAAAGCAACTGGTGTTCGCCCTTCCCCGATCAGCGTATATTCTGTAAACGCAGAAACGCGCGCCTGAGTGCGTTTACGCACGGACGCAGCATGGTGCCCATGATAGCCCCTTCATTTTTGTCAAAACATCGAGGGTTTTTACTGCACAAACCATCACCCCAGAAAAAAAGGTGGCGGAAAGTTTCCTTCAAGGGCCCATTAGGCTAGCTGTGGACTTCATGTCATTAATTTTGAGAATCGCCCTCTTTCTTGTAAAACGCTAACCACGTTCTTTTATTATTTTTTTTTTTGTACAAGCGTTGTTTCTTTTTTTTTTTTTTTTAAGATATTCATATTTGATTGCGGGTAACCCTGAACTTTTACAGCCCTGTCGAGACATAGGTCCGTTGGAGCACAGGGCTTCGGGAACTGTTCTGTCTACATCATTTTGAACCCTGCTCCAAAAACTCTACACTCTAAGAAAAAAGGGAGGAGAAAGGTAGCAAAAGCGACTGTTCCTCCATGTTGCGGACAAGTTGCCCAGAGAAGGGAGGAACGGCAGTTCAGATGAAAGGAGGAGGGCGAGTTCCTCCTTGTTCAGTTGGCGCAGGGGTAGAACATCGCGCTACTGACCAAGTGGTCAACGGTTCGATCCCCAGAAAAGTGGCTTTTTTTTTTCTTTTTTTTTTTTTGTAAAGTTTTTTTTTTAAATATTTTTGTTTACCAAAACACACATAAACAAACCCAGACCGATGAAAGGAAAATTAAAGTCCTTATTATTCTCCGAGACGTTTTCCTCCTCCAGGGGCCCTAAACTCGTGAAACAC